AACTGCTCTCAGTCACAAGTTAAGTCACACATTCATTCTTTGGGACCTCTTTTCCACCCTCTCCACACAATCTGGCATGGAGATATATTGCTTATCTCAGAAAATTTAATTCTCTGTATTTTATTTTGTATTGTCAAATTCTAGCAACAAGCTACCATCTGACAGTAAACATTTGGGCAGAAAAAAATACCATTTTGATGTGCTAAGAGCATACTGAAACACTAATCGTTATGAACAGAGAAGTCAACACAATTCATGTACTAATTAGCATCACACATTAGCTTATTACAAGCAAAAAAAACACTGCAGCTTGGAGCACTGGGAAAAGATGATGATAGAGAAGATTATAGGATTAAGCAGGCTATTATTTCTAACTGAGTAAGTATTTGAACAGCTTGTAGGATATGCTCCAAGGCTGGCTTTTACCTCTGCCTGTTGAAGCCTTGAGCATTTTCTCACCTTTTACTGTTTACAGGCAGGTATCCTGATTTCAGCTACTAAAAGGATTTTTATGGAACAGTGAGGGCTGGGCAGGGATTCTCTTTAATTTTCCAAATAACTGATGTTATGAGAGGGAAACACAGTTCCCACAGAAGTATTCCCATGAGAATCTCACAGTATAAACAGGTGCCCGCCCATTTACCCTAAGGGGATTGTGGAAATGCAGGCTCAAATTCTATCTTGGAGCTGAAATGTATCTTAAAACTCCCCAGAGAGCAAAGCTCAGCAGCAACCATAACTTTCCTTACCACAGTGTCATACTCCTCCCTCTGACACGTCCTCATTTAAACATAATACAGAGGGTGCCTTGAGCTAGGAGTTACCCAACAACTGGGCTTTCATTTAGTCATCCAGCATGTTTTTACTGAAAGGCTGTTGTGTGCCAAGTGTGAGTCCAATGGGGAAGGATGTGAGCTATGTCTATCATACTGAGTTCATCAACTGGATATTCTTCCCCAGCTCATTCCTGACCATCTTCATTTTTCTGACCACACTGTTCTTCCTTAACTGTGAGATACACGGCACTTAAATCAGGGCAGGACTTCTTAACTCCCCTCTCCCTACACCCCCCCCCCCCCCACCCACCACATGAAAAATCTGACATATCTTTTCTCGGAAGAACTTCATTTCTTCCAAGAGGTTCTCAAAGAGGCATACGTACTCCAAAGAGTGAAAAGGCATTGAATACTCACATGTAGCAGTGTCTATCCTATTTTTAAAGGAGATACCAGTCCTTTTCTCATAAGCCCTTCCCAGTACTTGTATTTAGAAAGACTTTCAAGAAGTCTTTCCTTTCACCGCAGACTCCGAGACTTTCTACTCTTTTGTTTACATTCATCTTGTCCTTGGAAGAGATATTTTAGATGATCACACACACATACTCTCCCAATAAAATAATCATTGTCTGGAGTAGGTTACCCATGTAGTCTACCAAGATTTGTGATTGATTTACCCAAGTTGGCTTACAGAATGTGGATTCCAGAGGAATCAGGATAAGTCCGGGTCAAGGAATCAGTTTAACTAACCTGACATTCCCAGTAAACATATGATAAATGAGTCTGAAGAAAGCACAATCTTCTTGGATATTAAGGCTTCTGCAGATATATTTCCCCATCCCCATCCCGTCCGCTCCAGGAGGAGGTAGGATCAGCAATCTGAACCCAAGGTTAAAGCTTCATGGCATTATCATTATTTGTGATAGTAAGACAGCCCTCCAAACCGCTAAACAGCGGAATGATGGTTTCATTTTTAAGCACCTAATTATTTCTAAGAGATGAAGTGCCCAAACAACCCTCTTGGTGTTGAAGAATGCAGCCTCCCTCAAGACTCCAGTTCAGCTCCGTTCAAGTTGGCTGCACACTCTCTCCATCCTCCTTCTCCCCTTCTGGACTCTGGCTGGCTTTCCCAGTTTAAAATCTTCTGCAGCATTTCTGGTAAACTCTAACGCTTATCAACCAGCCTCCTTATCCTTGGGGGCGTATTGAATATCAGATGAAAACACTGCAGAATTGGACAAGCAATTATTTAGTTTTACAACCATTTCTAATGATTAGAGCAAGCCGATTTTCACTTGCGGCAGTCAGAGATGAAGAGGAAAAACTGAGATGAGTTCACCAGTCCTTACTTGATTTTCAGCAGTCTGGGAAAAGAATGTGATCTGCAAGTTGCATGGTCCAGAGAATATAAAAAGAGACACAAGCCAGTGTGGCACTTGAGTTGAGTTAGCTGCCTTTTTACAAAACCATGCTGCTCAAGATCTTCTCTCCAGGTGTTTTGTCTCCAAGGCGGCTCTTGTCTGCTCTGGCTATCACTGACCATGAACTCTGTGGACACAGTGGGTTGAAGGAGAGTCAAACAACGATCGAATGAAGCCTATGAGTGAGAGGCTTACATGATAGCCATTCATCCAGAAGGCACAGACTTGCTGCTGTAACATCTCAGTTGCATCTTTGTACATATATGAGGGTTAATTGATACCCCCGCTCCATTTCTGACTTAACAGCACCCTGGAAGCTTGGTATCCATCCAGCCATTGCCTGAAGAGACCATGTCTGGACCATACCCTTGTGGCATTTGTAAACAAGTTGCTTGTCACTGCCATCAAAAAAGTCAATTGGCCAACACACCATATGATGAGTCTTCTAGCTTTCATTCCCCATTACTTTTTCCTTAAAGTAAAAGTTTAGCATAGCTCACCTCACTATTTTGGAGGAAAAGTGCATTTTTTTATTCAATCATTTACACCTTCAGTAAATAGTTATGGAGGCACTGAATTTGGCACTGGTGATACAACAATGGGTAAGACAGACAGCTTAAACTCTGATTTGGGAGACAGACGATGAAAAAGTAAACAAATACACAAGTTAATCACAGACTGTGATAATGCCATGAAGGAAACAAAGGTTGCAATGAGGAAAACTGATGGTGGCTACTTTAAGTTAGTTCTCAAGCTCGATTTGAGGAAAAAATGTAAAGGATCACAAAATGTATGCCAATTTATGAGATGTCATTGTGTGAAGTCGTAGTACTTGTCATTTGGTTAATCCCTCATCCTGCCCAGGAGAGGGAGACTTCTTGGTGTTTGGTAAAACTCTTCCTCCAATTGCTCCAGTGAACACCCATCTATGGCTCTGGGGCTGCCCTCTCTTATTCTAAGTTCCATCCTCTACAAAGGACTAGAGGGGAGCAGAGCTGCTGGACCAGGAGAGGTTGAGGGCAGACCTCATGGAAGTGCTGTTTGTGCTTTCGCCTTCTGAACAGCAACAGAGGCTGCCTCCTCATGGCTCAGCCACAAATAAAGCCACCCTCCCTCTCCTCAATCTCACCAAGAGATGCAGAGAAAGAGATAGAGAGAGACGATTAACTAAGGAGAAGTTCTTCTGTGAGGGCTCTGGAGAAAGAATCCTTCTGATACAAAGTCCTCATGTCACACTACTCTTTTTTTTTTTTAATTAAAGTATAGTTGATTTGCAATGTTGTGTTAGTCTCAGGTGTGCAGCACTGTGATTCAGTTATATAGATATAGATACAGTTTTTCAGATTTTTTTCCATTATAGGTTATTACAAGATACTGAATATATTAATAGTTCCATGTGCTATACAGTAGGTCCTTGTTTATCTAGTGTCACACTATTCTTATTAACCATCGCCCTTGAGAATTTTGCATCATGAAGAGCAAACACCATAAACAGAATAATGGAAGCATTATCTGTATCTAAGCAGATCTCCTGAGTCTCCACTGCATTCATTATGCATCAACAGGTGACCACTCATTGACTCTTAAATTGACTAGTCTATGCAGGGGTGAGTTATTCTAAACATGTGTAAATTGAGATCATTTATAACAAGGAGATTTTATACATACACACATATGATGGCTATATATATATATATACACATATATAATGCTTTGTTTCTTTTTGTTCTCTAAAAAAGCTAGGGGGGAAAAAGCCAGTTTCAAAATGCTTGGAAGCTTTTATCCATTTGGAGGTAATTTTATGTTTCAGAATCACTTTGTGACTTAAATTGCTCAAAAATATTTTACCCTCAACTGACCAATATGTTTTCAAAACAGAAAGATCAATGTGCCCATCAAGGCCGTTCAGGAAAGGTACACTCTGTAATCTTATCTGTATAACCTGCCCCCCATTCCCCAGATAGGATTGCCACAGAAAATGCTGGCCACCCAATTAAATTTGAATTTCAGATAAACACCAAATAACCTTTTAGTATAAGAATGTTTCAAAAATTACATGGGAAATACTTATACTAAAAAATTGTTTATCTTGGCATCCTGTATTTTTACTTGCTAAATCTGGCAATCCTGCCCCAAATAAAAGATGTGAATCTCTGACAGTTCCTATCACCACTCGCCACCTTCACTGAATACCTGATTTAAGCCCAGTCATCAAAAGTAAATGTAGGGGCTTCCCTGGTGGCGCAGTGGTTGAGAGTCCGCCTGCCGATGCAGGGGACACGGGTTCGTGCCCCGGTCCGGGAAGATCCCACATGCCGCGGAGCGGCTGGGCCCGTGAGCCATGGCCGCTGGGCCTGCGCGTTTGGAGCCTGTGCTCCGCAACGGGAGAGGCCACAACAGTGAGAGGCCCGCGTACTGCAAAAAAAAAAAAAAAAAAGTAAATGTAAATATTGATCAATGTTGAGAAACAAAATTTAATTTAGTTGGTATTGAAGAAGATTGAAAAATACAGTCGCCATTGGCCAGGTAAATAGGGAATTGGGCAACTTTTATATAATCTAGATATGCAAACTAGATCATAAACAAGCTCTCTTTCAAAGACTTCTGCCATAATTAATGTGTAAAAACCTTGCACAATTGAAACCTAGAATATTTTGAGTGCTTAACCTGGAAGAAGGTAAGGTGTTTTCCAAATTCCTAAGAAACAGGTAATAACTAAGGAGATCATGCTCACATTTTATTTTGGTATTTATGTTAATTTGCTTAACCTCACCTAATTCATCCTCTCTCTCACTTTCTCTAGTTACCTGAACAAGAATAAATACCTGACAGCTATTGACAAAGATACATTTGGAGGAGTTTACAGTGGACCAACCTTGCTGTGAGTAAGACATACAAAAGAATATTTGCCTTTTTTTTTTTTTTAACGGAAGGGAGAGGGCCGTTAAGAAGAGTAGCTGATGATGTCTGTGGGGAGGGAATGTTGTTGTCTTGGATAAAGGCTTCTGCTAGTACTTTTCTGCCCAGCTGTATAGGTTACTGCTTGGAAGAAAGTCCTTGTTCTTTGAGACTCAGAAGGCCCCAGACTCCACTGTACCATCCTGATGCCTGATGCCACCTTGGTGTGGACATTCATGAAGGCCCTCTTTTGGAAAAAAAGACATTTTTGAGCAGCTGGTGTTTGCAAAATTCTGAGATATGAGGTCTACAAATAGGTGGAAGGCACTCTAGTCTTTGCTGAGAAATGAATGTGTACTGTATAATGCAATACATTATGGTACTGTACCATATGGGGGTTCATAGCACAAAGAAGGAAGAGTATAAAAAGTTTGATTCATATCTGGGAAAAGTTACAATCACTGGAAAAGGTGGGATGTAAACAGTTTTTAAAACAGTAAGAAAAAAAAGTTATTTGTGCATTTTCTCTGATTTATACCTCCACATGTAATCATGATGAAGTTCTGTTGATTCTGTCTCCCACAAGCTTCTTCTAGTGCCATCTTCTCCCATCCCCTTGGTTTTGCCTTAGTTTAGAACTTCATTCTTGAGCATCTAGGACAGTCCTTGCCAAAGTGGAACAGAGTCCCCCAGGAGAAGCACAAGACAATCCATTAGAGGCACGAGGTTTCCATACATACATAAGAGGTTCCATTTAAAAATATGAACAGGGCTTCCCTGGTGGCGCAGTGGTTGAGAGTCCGCCTGCCGATGCAGGGGACATGGGTTGGTGCCCCGGTCCTGGAAGATCCCACACGCCGCAGAGCGGCTGGGCCCGTGAGCCCTGGCCGCTGAGCCTGCGCGTCCAGAGCCTGTGCTCCGCGATGGGAGAGGCCACAGCAATGAGAGGCCTGCGTACCACAAAAGAAATAAAATTAAATTAAAAAAATAAAAAATAAAAATAAGAACAAATTGGGAATTCCCTGGTGGTCCAGTGGTTAGGACTCTGTGCTCTCACTGCTGAGGGCACGGGTTTGATCCCTGGTTGGGGAACTAAGACCCTGCAAGCCACGTGGCATGGCCAAAAAAATTTTTAAAAGAACAAATTAAGTTCTACTAATATTTTACATATAGATGACCACTGTCCCTCAGGTGTCAGGTAGGTAATGATTGCATCCCAAGGGAATAGCTGGTGATCCACAGTCTCGAAGACTTACATCCTCACTCTTTCACTTTTAACAATTTCACTTCACTTTTAGATTGAATACACCCAGTTAAGTGGGTTTATGGCCTTACTTTCTTAACACACAGGCTCCATATAAGAGGGCAGAGTGACCCTAAAAATCTATTGTACCATACGGGGGTTCATTGTTAACTCATGGCAAAGTACTTAAAAGTATTATGCATTTTTCTTTTTATAAAAAGACAAGTGAAAAAAAGTATATTGACCTTTTCTGTGATTTTTTTTTTTTTAACCTGGAAGACATTTTTTAAAGACATCTTTAACTGCCCCTTCAAGATAAAGGTGATATTTCACCAATGAATGAGGAAAGTTGTTGCTCTTCTAAAGAAATGTGTGCTTTGGAAAGTCTTTAGAAACAGGTATTTGGAAATTTTTCCATGTTATGTAATTTTCCTGATGAAAATAGTGAATGTCACTTATAAAAATTTTGCTTTTTTAGAATCAGAAATTGAATTTTAACATGTTTTAAAACCTTTAAAATTAAGAGTTGCAGTGGGTTTAAATTCCATGCATATAAAATGAAACATCTTTAGACTAGTTTGCAAAAACTACTTATTGACAGCTGAGAGTATGAATTTCAATAAAAACATGTATTTAATTACTGAATTGGATTGAGAGATGAGAATCTTAATTTAGTAAGTACAGCCAAGCCTGCCCTATTCCATTTGGAACCATCTATCTTTGTGAGGTAACTTTTTCAATTGACAACCATTTAAACCAAAACCAAAATAAACTGACCCAGAAGCAGACCTCTGAATAGCTGTATCAGAAAGTGTTAAATGACAATTTTCATAATTAGTTAAGTATTATTTAATAACATTGATTTCACTTTGGTGAAATTTTTTTTTTAATATTACTTATTTGTTTTTATCCTATCCTTTTAAATGCATGGTTAGTGTGTTTTGTAATGTATAATATATAACATGGTATTACAGTAATATGTGTATAGAGCTCATAAATATACATATGTTAAAGTACATACTCAGACATTTTTTACTTATAAATACATGACACTGAAAGAATTTGAAGACCAGTAGTGTAGACCAGAAACATTCAAAGTGTGGGTCCACTACAAGGTTGGCTCCAGAATGTACTTCAAAGCACAGCTTCCTTCGTGGAGAAAGTCTTCCTATGAGAGCAAAGTTGCCCAAACTAAGCAGTGTGCTTAGTGAATTACATTCCAGTACAAGCTTCTTACTCTATCAGGGACTCATAAGAAACAGCCAATGGTCACCACACTTTGAGTAGCACTAGTCTAAGTGACAAGAGAATCCAAATTTCCCCTGGCCTTCTATCTTTGACCTTCTCAATTTTACCCTCCCCAAACCTCCTTGCGTTCAAATGCAAATAGGATCTTAAAAACCAATGCTGGTCTCCCATTCCCCTCAGCATAATGACCTTGGTGTGGCATGCTAAACCCTGCTATAATCTTCAGCTTTATCTCTCACACCTCGATACACCCCTGACCCATCATCCATCCATATTGAAACTTTCAGGTCCCCTAATATTCCAACCTACTTATATGGCTATGCTAAACTCTTGCTCTTCCTACAGCTTTGAAAACCCTAGCACAACCTTATCTGTCTGATAAGCACCTACTACCATTTTGACATTTGAGTAAAGATCTCTCTGAAGTCATTCTTTTTTTTTTTTTTTTTTTTTTTTTCTTGCGTTACGCATGCCTCTCACTGTTGTGGCCTCTCCCGTTGCGGAGCACAGGCTCCGGACACGCAAGCTCAGCGGCCATGGCTCACGGGCCCAGTCGCTCCGCGGCATGTGGGATCTTCCCAGACCGGGGCATGAACCCATGTCCCCTGCATCGGCAGGCAGACTCTCAACCACTGCACCACCAGGGAAGACCCCTCTGAAGTCATTCTTGGCCCTCCTCTCCTTAGGGAAGGATGACCATTTCTTCCCTTATACTCCCCACCTCTATTTATGCATCTCATGGCACCAGTGACTTGTTTATATCTATCTCTCCAGGAGCTCCCAGAGGGCAGGGGCTATGTCTGTTTCATTTCTACAGTTCTAGTTCATATTACAGTGCCTGAAACACAGTATTTGCTTAAAAATGTTTGTGAAATTAATACAGTCTACTATAAATATTTGAATCACACTTCCATAAATGCTATGGCATTTAAATAGTAGTCACATTTTAAAGATATTTTAGTACATTTTCCTTAAGGGAGAGTGTCCATTTCTACTTCTTTGGAAGCAGTAAATTAAATTACCTATTTGTTTGTGCTGCTTAAAAGTTGTTTTGATAGCTTTGGTAAGTCTTTTTTTTACAAGACTCTCTAACCAAGTTAAGAGCAGATGTGCAACAGCTTGACGATGCCAGTTCTGCTTCCTAGAGGCATGCCAGGTTACAAAAAGTGAACTGGATTAGGAGCTAGACCTGGAGTTGATTCTTGGCTCCATCACTAATTGTGAGACCCAAGCCTCAGTTTTCTTATTTGTCAAAACAGGGTAGCTAAAAGTAGTGAAACTTAAATAAGAAAATAAATCTGAAGTATTTCATATATGCTTAATAAATGGTAAACATTATCATTACCTTCACTTCTTCCTGACCCTTGACAGCATCACTATTCTTATCTTTTGTAACCTCTCAGATCACTCCCTCCCGATTTCTCTCACTAGAGCTCACTGCCCCAGAATTTCAGTGTGGCTCAGTCCTGGATCTTTCTCCTCTATATCTTCTCCTTTGGTTAAATCATTTGCTCTCTAATATTATGAGAATATGAATAATTTCTAAATTTCAGGTTTCTGACCATAGCTCTTATTTAGTCATCTCACCTGTCTGGAATTCCTCCCTCCTCTCCCTCTCATTCCTACCCATTCCCGTCAGTTTGATGAAACTTTTCCTGACCAACCTGTGAAAATGTACAGTCAACATTTACTGAGCACTTGGTAAGCCCAGGACTCTTCATTATGAGCTTTCAATAGGGGAGGGTCACCACTTTGAAGGATGGTCAGGAAAAGCCTCATCAAGAAGGTCACAACTGGGAAAAGACTGGAAGGTCATAAGGGAGCAAGTCATGTGACTGAGGGAAGATCATTCTAGGCAAGTGCAAAGACCCCCCAGGTGAAAACATACCTGGCGTGTTTGAAGAGTAGCAAGGAGGCTGTTATAGCTCAAGCAGAGTGAACTAATAGACATATACATTTCATCCAAAAACAGCAGAACATGTTCTTTTCAAGTGCACATGGAACATTCTCCAGAATAGATCACATCCTAGGCCGAAAAAGAAGTCTCAATACATTTAGGATTGAAATCACATCAAGCATCGTTTCCAACCACAATGGTAGGAGACTAGAAATCAACTACAAGAAAAAAACAGAAAAATTACAAACACATGAAGGCTAATCAATATGCTACTAAACAAAAAATGGGTCGTTGAAGAAATCAGAAGAAATCAAAAGATACCATGAGACAAATAAAAATGGAAGCACAGTGTCCCCAAATCTATGGGACACAGCAAAAGCATTTTTAAGAGGGAAGTTTATAGCGATGTAGGCCTACCTTAGGAAACAAGAAAACTCTCAAATAAACAATCTAACATTATACCTAAAAGAACTAGAAAAGAAGAATAAACAAAATCCAAAGTTAGTAGAAGGAAGAAAATCATAAAGATAAGAGCAGAAATAAATGAAATAGAGACTAAAGAAACAGTAGAAAAGATCAACAAAATTAAGAGCTG